TAAGCCACCAGCAGCAGCAGCAGCACCAGCAGCAGCAGATGAAGAGCGTAAGAGAGAAGAGTGGTGGAGAGCGGCGAACACAAAAGCGGCATGTTCTCGCTCGCTCTCTCTCTCTCCACCTTCATCTCTCTCTTCTCTTCTTCTCTTCCTTTCTTTCCCTCCCCCACCTTCCTCTCTGACACTTCGCCAGGCGAAAAATCAATGAAAAATATCTGGGAAAAATTGCCGAAATTCTGCATTTGTTGTTGGCTTTGTTCTTATTTTTTTTTTTGTTGCTGCGGCTTAAAAATTTTTGGCTTATTGAGTGGTTTAGGCACACTTCTTTTCGTTTGTTAGTTTTGCTCTTGTCACTGGGCTTCGTTTGCCCCCCACCACTCGATGGTCGATTTGTGGCTTTATTATTGTCACACACAAAAAACACGGCACACACGAGTATTTCGCGATAAACGATTTGCTTTGATTTGATTTGTTTATGGCTGCTGCCTGGCCGTAATAAGACAACAGATTAGGACACAAATCTGTGGCAGGACTGCGGACCACCGAGCAATAAAGGGTATAAAAGGAACCCCCCACCCACACGGCCAACGAACCTGCCTCGACGACACAAACGGTTATTCGCGCTCTTTTCCTAGGGATGTTGAACATATATATACATACATATATATAAATAATATATATATATATATATATACGTCTTTCGGCCAAGTCAAGACAAAATTCCGGTATTTCGTTGTCCGCGGCCGGCCGTTGGATTCGAGTTTTTGGATTTTTTGAGCGTGCTGGCGTTTGGTACGGGAAAGACGGACGAAAAAGAGCCAGATAGCTCATTTTTGCGTTGCCAGAGTGAGTGAGAGAAAACTAACGGTGTTCTTTGGCCGGCGACTTTACAAACAAGAGAGCAAGTGAGAGCAAACTTAGAGCATGGAATGTTAATTTTTAAAAGTTTAAAGTTTTATGCTAAATGGGCTACAAAGTACATACAAATATAACAATAACATTTAACATTCATTAAGTTTTGTTATTCGCCAGAGAGCGAGAGCTTAACATGCCAGTTGTCACACCTTTTTGTGCTACGCACCTTGCAGGCGTTTACAAGCAACAATGCTGCTCTCTCGCATTAACATCATGTGAGCAGACTGTTAGGAGCCGCAGGAATGTTAACCCTTAACATAGCCCATTCGAATTGTAAGATTCTTATTTGATATATTTGGTACCAACGAAACGAGTGATTTAATCTCTTGTTCGAAAAGTTCAATTTAATTTGAATAGTAAATAACAAAGTTTCGTTTGAGAATTAAACAGTTTACACTTTTAACAGTTTTCGGTTCATGTAGTTTACATCAACCGAAATCTGTTAAGCAAGAGAGCGATGCCATGTGTCATCGTTCCGCTCTCTTTTACTCTCTCTCTCTCTCTCACTCTCTCTGATTCTTGAGTCGGCGCGTGCTAAGGGCGTTTGGTTACAAAAAATATAAATTTTTGACACAAGCAACTTAATTCCGACAAAAACGCACTTAAAAAAAAAATTTAGTGGGTGGTTTTGATTTTTTAAATAAATATGATATTAATTCCAATTGTACCGCAATTTGCTTGAACCACCTGACAACTCTATAAAACACTGGCACTTCGCGCTCTCTCTTTCTCTCTCTCTCACGCTCCATCAAAGACGCGCTCTCTGTTTTTGCCGGCGATGCTTATGTATTGGTTTATTTATAATTTACAAATTGGTTCGTTTTGCATACCATACACACACGTGCATACGAGTGTGTTCTAATATATAGACAGCATTTAATTACACTGGTTAAGTTTGGCTTTAATTATTTATTGTATTCTTTCGCTCCAGCTCTCCAGCAACTAAAACACATGCTCAACCCGCACATGTACACACATACCAACATATGTATACGTGTATTTACACTGCTTCGAAAAAGCGGCAAATAAATGCCTATTTATCTTTCTCTATGTAACACTGCTTTCTTTATGTGCACTTTTGATTTGTTTAATAAAATAAAGTTGTATTTAATGCACTTTGCACGTCTCAGCACCGTCTGTTCTTGACACCCGTTGACTTCCAAATCCCGCTGCCATTCCCATTGTCAGAGCGATGCGATGCACAGTGGCACTACGGCAATATTATGTCAACAAATAGGTTTTTTATGTTTTTCAAGGATCGATAAATAACTATAAAGTATATATATGTTGGGTATTTCATTATTTTTTATTTTCCTATCGGTTGCGTATCCAAACTTTCCATAAAGCTCATATAAGGTTTGAATTTTGCCACCTGATTTCGGCTAAGGCCCCACTGTGCGCCTGGTTGAATTGTTTACAGCGTGGTGTATGTGTGTTGGTGCGTTTGCGACGAAGGCTGCCAGACGTTCGCGTATATTCGATATTTTCTATCGGAAAACGCCCACTACTAGCCGCCTATTCGATCTCAATTTCCTATCGATATTACCGGAATCAATTGTTTTTTCCGCTGAGCGCGGCTAATTCAAAATTAAGTTCAAATTAGCAGCGGACTTTCTAATTTAAATGTTAATTGGCTATGGTGGGTTTTCATTCGCTATATTTACGGTCTACTGGTAATGTATGTATATTTACGGCATATGGTTCCAGTTACACTCGACAAAACAAATCAAGTGAAATATTTATTTTCCATATATATACTTTTGAAAATGACCGCCAAGCTCATTTAGCGCACAAAAAATTCTGACATTTTTCGCTCTCAATTCTTTTTCCAAAACTTGCTCTCTATTCCGAGGTGAAGAGAGCGTTTTCGTGGTGAGTTTCCGTGGTGTGAGCAACATGTTTCGCGTATGGAATGAAGATTCATTGTGGCATCATTCCAAACATGTGGCTCACACACGTTCCCGTAAGATACATTTGAACCTTTTTATGTAAACAATCCAATAAAAAATAGTTTTGAAAACTAGCCAATCCTGAACAAAATTCATTGAGGAATTGGATAAAATTATTTTTTTAGGGCTGAGAGGGCCAACTATCTAGTAATATTAAACTGAATATCAAAATTGACGAATTTCATATCACAAAATATCATGGTATGGCAGCTCGCAGCAACTACGAATTGCAAGAGTCTGGCAGCGCCACAAAAACGACGTCAAATTCGTCTTATGTTGTTTTTGTTTGAACATGATAGTCTCATGATAGTCTCAAAACCATCGATAGTAGAGGCTAGCAGCAAAATATCGATACTGCCGATAGTGCCCTCTTTTAAACGCAAAAATGAGTCGGGAGAGCGGTTTGAGTGCTCTCTTTCAAAAGGGACATGGCAAGGTATGGCTCCAGTATTAAGACGGCCAAACGTTTTTAAGGACCTCGTAAGGACCTCACCCTAGCCCCGACGGACTAAATATACCATGTTTGCGTGAAAGCACAAAATCCCGCACGGTGAGTTATGTGGTGAGGTGGGTTTTTTCCTTGTAAGCTCTGGATTTTGTGACGTCATACGTCACACCTCATGCCCTTATCCTTGCGGCACAAACAAAAGTTCCACTTGAAGAAACGATAACGATAAATGATAACAGTTTTATCAGATGATTAGTTATACACTGATGTCAACACGTTCAAAACAAAAAATTTTTTGAACACGTCGGACGGTTATGCGCGCGCAAAACGCGGCCACGAAACGTGTAAATATTGTCGAATTCTCGAATATTGAAGACAACACAGCGCGCGCAGCGAATGTGATGCCTAAAACAAAGTAAAAGAAATCAGAGTGCAAAGCAAAAGCAAAGAAAAAGGAAGACCCATCGACGTGTTCGGACGGCAGTCGTCGCGCGTTTTCTTACGCCGTGGGAGTCGGAATCAGACGCGCGCGTGTGGTGTGTGTGTGTGTGTGCCCGTATGTTTATGAAGTAAATAAATATTGGAGCTGTATAATTAGCCAGTTATGATCCTCATATGATGTATGATGGTGATGGAGTGATTACCACTAACAAGTGCCCCATAGAACAGGGAAACTGCATAGGGAATCGGGAGTGCGGCCTGCCAATTGTCAAAGACAAAATGGCTGCATTTCAACGCATTTAATGCCCCGCTCTGCAGCAGAAGCAGCGGCAGCAGCAGCAGCAACAACAGAAAAGGCACAGGCGGCAGCATAAAGAAGAAGAGGAGAAAGAGTCGCTGAAGAAGAAGAAGAACTGGTAGCGTGAAAGGGAAGAGGAAGAACACAACAAAGCAGATTGTGGGCAGAAGAGAAGAGAAAAACCAAAGTTTAATTAACCGAATATTTGTTAGTATTTTTATGAACAAAATCTGGTGCTCAAGTCGAAAGAATAAGGAGGAATAAACAAAAATAGTTCTTTAAAGCGAATGCTGTTTTACATTTACTTTACTTGACTTTGTGTTTGGCTTTGCTTTTTATTTGTTTTGTTTTTTTCTTTCCTACAAAATACCAGCAACAATAATTCCACTTAATGCATTTTTTTTTTGCGTTTGCGCCGCTGCCGCTCTCTTTTTTACTCTCTCGCTGTGTTTGCTCTCCCTCTGTCTGTGCTGGTTGTGTTGTTGTGCTCCCTCTCTGTTGTTACGTTTCCTCTTTGTTCGCTCTTTGTTGTTTTGGCTCTCTCTCTCCCTCTCTCTCTCTGCCTGCGCTCTGTGCAGCTGCGCAGTGCGTCAGAATTGGCCCTTCAGCATGAGTGCGAGTGAGAGTCCAATACAAGCTGTTTCTTTGTGTGTGTTTTGATTTTGTGTTTGTTTATTTGCAAGCATTCATTTTTGTTTTGCCTCCAACTAAATTAAAAATTGATTAATAAATACAAAAAAAATCAAGAAAAAAAAACAGCTGCTAAAAAACAAAAAAAATTGTGTAAATCCACTAAAAAAAATACCCCCCTCTGTGTTTCCACTCTCTTTACAGCAGCAGTAGTAGTAAATCCCAAAACATAATAAATACATTTAAATAAATAATCATTAAAAATAAGCTAAAAAGTGTTTAATTTTAGTTTTCGGTTTTTATTTGTTTTAAAATAAAAATAAAAAATACAAAGAAATAAAAGTGAAACAAAAAATATAAGAATAAAATACTTGGTGCCCCGATCCGTGCGTGTCGATGTGTGAGTGCTAAAACTGGTTAATGGCAGGGCCGCGAAAAATCCCCCATTAAGCCAGCCAGCCGCAGAGCCCCACAAAAGGTGCCCCCCAGTCCCAAAAATAGAGCATACTGCCACAAGAGTTACGTGAAAATCCCCGCTCTAACCACCACCAACAACAACAACAAAAACAACAAAAAGAGAATCTGTTGATTCCCCCTGCAACCACATTGGATCCCAGTCGCTGCATATAATGTCCTCAAAATGTGCTTTCAACATTGCATTCGTGTCGATCATTTTCATCATCATCGTAAATGGTAAGTGCCGCTAAGAATATGTATAATAAATAATTAAATAATATTAATTTTAAATAAATTTTCCATCTAAAAAAAATGAATCTTAAAATTTGTGATTATAAAATTTTAAATTCTAGTAAGAAATGTGTAGGTGGTAGGCTTTTAGGTGGTTCTTAGTGAGGATCTCCTTAAATTAAATAAGAAATAAAGTTAGAATAAAAAATTAGATGAATTCTTTAATGCTGAGATTTACAAATGTAACATTGAGCTTTAGATTTCACAAAATAATCATTAGTAATCATGCAATTCCAACGAAATACAATGCCGTTTCCATTCCGCACTTGACCCACAAATATCCAACACTTAGTGAATAAAGTTAATAATTATACGAGAAGATTAACCATAATGGAAGACGCATAAACACAAAAAATAACATTGAAACAAATGCCCAATCAGGCGGATAAACAAAGTTAACATTTTCACCCCAACATTAAAACCCCAACAATTAAAGCGTAGGAAAAATAATTACGCACTCCTTGGGGGAGGGTGAAAATGGCGTTGTGGTGTCTGCCACAATCTTTTGTAACCCTTATCATTTTAGTATCCTGCTTTGGAAATTGTTTTCCCCTCCCCCATATCATGCTCTTTCGGCAGTGGAAAATCTGCAAGCAACTCTTTCGTTCCAGCTAGAGATTGGCTTCGTTTCTATGTGGCTTGTTCGCTTGTTGATTCGCTGCTTACCGGCAGGTGTCAAGGCCTCCCGCCGCCCCCCTAACAACCGGTCTCTATTAACAACATATACCTAAATATGCGTGTATGTGTATCCCATGTATCTTTTATACACGAGTGAACTGCTCCATGAAATGAGCATTCAACAAAGCAAAATCATTGTTTAACTCTGAAAATGTGAGAAACAGAGAGAGAGAAACCCAACCGAGGAGTGAGTCATAGAAATGTCGAGGAAACCGAATGGAATCATCCATTTTTATGGTGAAATTTATTGCTGGTAAAAAGTTTGAATATAAATGAAAGAAATTCAATTTTAATTAATTTTTTTTTTTTGTGTCTTATATTGTCTAGTCTTAGATTGAGAATTAGTAGAATTGTAGAATCCCAAAGAACTGGAAAAACAGTGAAACTAAAATTTATTTCATTCGCTAGAATGCCTACCATACAATTTTCACACATTTTCATAGCTTCTCTCGTATTTTCCTACTCGCAATCTCCCGATAAATTTTTATTAGGTTAAATTATGGGTTGAAGGAGACAACAAAAAAGTTACACAATAAACACGTAATTATTTAATTTATTGTATATTTTTATTTAGTATGCAAAAGTAAAAAATGTTGAAATAATAACTATATATTTTTGCCAATTCAAAAGTTACATTAACTAATTTGTTTGTTGCCTAAAAGATGGCTTGTACTCGTAGGTTCAACATTACGAAATACAAGGCAAGGGCAGGGCAGGGTAGGGCCTCTTAGCCGGGCCAACAGCAGCAGCCAGCAGCAGCCAGCAGCTCTTAGCTAATTAGCAAAAGTCGAGCCAAGAAGCAGAGGCCAAAACGAGGAAACGAAAACTGGTTTATCCACTTGGCCACTGGCCGGCTAATCTGACAACAAAGAACGAACAGAACATACGCAAGAAAGAGAACGAGAACCAGGGAGAGAGCGGCCATAGAGAGAGAAAAAATTGCGACAAGTTTTTGTGTGTTTGTTTTTAGTATTTCAAAGCGCAAGCAAAAGCAAAGAAAACAAAAAGAAAAAAGGTCAATGTCTTGGCATTAAATGTTTTGTCTGGGGGGAACAAAATGTACTCATATAAAAAGAGCCTTATAAATCATGCAGAATGTATCTGTATGTGCAACAGATACAATCGGAATGAAAAGTGACTCCCTCCTAGCTCTCGCTCTCGCTCTTCCTCCTCTCTCTGCCTCTCTCTCTCTCTCTGTCTTGCCTTTTGTGCCATTATCGTCGCCCTCAAAGCCACAAACGGAAGCGCAACAAATACATGAGGAAAAAAAAACAGTGCTCTTTAGAGCAACAGTTTTGAGCTACAAATAAAAGATACAGATACACTTACAGATATGAATAAAGATAAAGATACATTAAGAGCAACGAATAAAGATAAGGGTGCAGATATCTATGGATGGGAAATAAAGTTAAGATACGAATTAAGATGTAGATAAATATGTAGATATATTTTTAAATTAATATCTATCTCTACAGCTACGAAAAAAATGTAGAGACACAGATATATTTAGAGCTACAAATAATGATTAAGTTACAGATAGAGATATAATAACCAGATGGAGATACAGATACGATAAAGATATACATAAATATAGGGAAACAGATACTGACGGGTGGGACAACAAAGAAAGAAAAGCAGATACGAATAATGACCTACAACTAAAAGTAAAGATATAGATACTTTTGCAACAAAGATTGGCCCATTTTTACTTCATTTTTTTCATGGGTTTCCTCGACTAGACTTTTCTTTTCAAAATACATAATACTGCGTCCATGAATCCGATCGCCGATCGACCCAAATAGTCGCATGTCACACATGTTCTCCAATTATTCTGACCTCCCAAGTCCGCCCGATAATTCACTTCTTGCGTCAGAGCTATTTCTGGCGCTCTCGTATTATTGATAAGCGCTGCACTGACATTTTTCTCAAGTAAAATTTCGTTCTGCTCCCGAGCAAAATTTGTCATAAATCACATACATATATACGTAGGGGAATGTGGAGGATTGAAGGGGGCCCACTATCCATAGTGGGGCATTTATGCAATTTTGTTTTATGTTCTTTTTATTTTGCTTTATTTGCGGTACGTGCCAAGTGCGAATCCGACTGAAACGCAACAGCAAATAATGAAGCAGCCTTCTAGCCAGAGATGTCAGCATGAAGTTCGTGTGCCGATGGCCAATGAAAGTGGCAGAAAATGAAGCTCATGATCTCCACATTACGATCCCATACCCTACCATCGTTTTTATACCCTCATTTTTCTGTGTGTTGTTATCAAACGAAACGAATGCATCTACTCGTTTATGGGACATTTGTGCGAGTACAGCGAATCAACGACATCTGCATCATTCGACGAATGTGGCCGAGTGTGATTTAGCCGAACAGAGGGGTATTTTACAGAAGCATAATTTATTCCTAATATTTAAGTTGCATTGGCATTCATATCCAATTTCTCCCCCTGTCATCTGTGTACGAAAATAAAAGGGAATCCTTACAATAAATGAGGCAATATCGTAAGAATGCCTCTGTATTTCTTTTTGTTAATTAACGATAACATTAACTTTTCATGAAAGCAGATAAAAATCATATTTAATCTCAATGGATTTGAATGGGACGAATTTCCAACAATGAAAATGGTCGCGAAATGTCAAAGAGATGACCCACAAATTCCATAGCTTATGTACATCGGTTTCAGCCATTCAGATGATGGATAGACTGCTTTGTGTCCTGTATCTGTGGTCGTATCTGCCAGTTACAAATGTATCTCCCACTGCGAAATGTGTTACACTCGCCATGAATGTGCTTCTGACATTTATTGTTTGTCGAGAGCCAAAACCACACACACACACACACAACACACACAAAATATACACAGTAAAAAATATATATGCATTCCATATATGTATGTATATACACGTATCGGATAAATCCCTTAAGCTGCGGCTGAATCAGGAGTCAAGCGTGTGGATGGGGCACTTCAAATTGATGAGTAGCTTTAATAAGAGGGCGTGACACTGACTCTTGACTCTCATTCCGACAGTGGATGGAGCTGCCGCTGCTGCTGCTGCTGCGAGTGGCAGGTGGGCAGATAGATGGATTATGGGTTACAGCGTCTATCCCCCTGGAATCCCCCATTTCATTTTGAATGTATGGAGTGGAACATCTAATTTTCTGGGGGCGTAAAGGTTATCCACAAATAACACAAACGATTCGGGAACGCATAGATGACGCATTTTAGACAACAAATTAATGAATTTGCTTTCAGTCAAAGAATTCTAATAAAGAGAATGAGAGCGAAAGCGTTCGTAAGGTAGAAAATGGAAATAAAATGCTACGGAAAAACTATAAAAAATAATTGGAAATAAAATGCAATAAAATAAAAAATACAAAAATGGATATAAATACAATAAAAAAATGGAAATAAAATATAATAAGAAAATGGAAATAAAATATTATAAAAAAATGGAAATAAAATACATAAATAAATATAGAAATAACTTGCAAATAAAAAGCAATTAAAACAATGTAAATAAAATTTGAAATGAAACATAAATGTATAGCAGAAAAAGCTTTAAATTTCGTCTTTTGAGCTAAGTATTGCTGGGATCTCACAAATAAAAATTAGTAGAAATATATCCGTTTTCTTTTTTGGCAAATCATAATTTCTCTCTTGCCGTAAAATAATTGTTTTTGGTTGAAAAAGAATAGATCTGAAGGAGTACAAAAAGTGAGAGCTCTTAGCTGGATACTTTCTACGTTTTTCGAGCATCTTTGAGTGGAGCTTTCCATATACTTACTCGTATGAGTGTGTCGGCGGCCGTAATTCAATCAGAAAGCCACGAAGTGGGCTAACTAAAAATGCGCTTGAATTGGATTTTATGCGAGAATTATGCTGCCTCATTATGCCAAATGGCCTACATAACAATCAAAGCGGGACTCCTGGCCCACGACCCTCGCGAAGGGGGCGTGGAATTTAATTAAATTATTAAAGTTGTGCGGTAAGCCACAGAGATACAGTGGATATAGCAAGGGCTACAGGGGATACTCGTACATAAACAACGAGACGACCGCCAGACAAAGGCATAAAAACTTTTCTTTTCTCCTTTTTTTTTTTGGGAAGCATAAACAAACACGAGCGCCAAGACGCAGATACATTATGCACAGACGCAGGCTACAGATACAAGATACGCGCCAGCGGAAATAAAAGGAAAAAAAACGGAGGAAAAACAGAAAAGGGAGAGAACACCCGAGAGAAGAACCAGACGTGGGCT